TTATGCAACACATTTGACATATTCACTGTTTTGATGATTAAAATGTTTGTGTTTCATATTAACTTTGCACAAGTGGTTTAACAAAGACTTTAGGTATCACAGCCATGATTTAGCCTTTATTTTTTTAATGAACTGTATCGAATCGATTTGAAATATATCGTATCGAACCGAAAGTGCACAATATCGAGATATGTATTGTATCGTGGCCTATGTATCGAGGTATGTATCGTACTGGCTACTTCTTAACAGTACTAGCCCTAGTACTCAGTGACAGTATTTGTGCAATCGATATGTGTAAATGTGTCAATTTAACCACAAAAGTGCAGAAATATAACTTTGTTGATACTTTTGCAGTGACATCATACTGGGGGTGTTCTACATGCATCTCTATCTCTCTGTTCAGCAGTATGGTGACCATAGACTGTATAAGAGTAGTGGACTAAGCAAGTGTGACGTCACCCATAGTGTTCAGCACCACTCAAATGAGGCTCGTGATGCTAACGTTTACAGGATCGAATCTGGAGTCAGGCTCTATGTTATGAATAGGATTTTTTTGATAGACAAAATAGAAAAAAAAAATAAAAATCAGGATCACGTTAAGCAGGTTAATACGAACATTTTAAGACCAAAATGACGAGGCTCACTGCGGCAGAGAGGAGCCACAAGATCCTAATTTAAGTCAATGGGAGCCAGAGTCAGCAGGAGCCGGAAGAGCCTCCCGGAGCACTTCCTCTTTGGCACACGGTGGCTAACGCATTAGCTATATCCACTCATATATACAGTCTATGATGGTGACACAATGCACATGTTAGCAAACACAGACAAAAAAGGTTTTATGATAGTCTACAAAGTCAAAATTAATTAACTTGAATTACAGAGCTTCAGACAGAGTAGTGCTTTTAGTTAGCGTCACACTCCACACAGGGAATGTTGATGCCATCAGCTGCAAAGTATCAATACTACTGTTTGAAAAATACACTGCAAGTTCATATACTTGATACAATTTGGTAATTTGTCCAAAATGTTTGTATTACACATTTTTCAATATACAGTATTTACCACCTTTAATTATGATCCATTGTATAAAAAAGAAATTTGAAAACTTCCAGCTTCCAGCAGTGCTCCTTCTGGGCAGTGGATAGGTAGTCATAAAGATTCGTTAATAGACTTGCTAACCCTTATATTTATTATTTATAGGCAATAAGGAGTACTAGTCACCATGAGCACACTTAAAAAAATATCCGTTTCAGGAATTGGACCCACAACTTCTCAATGAGCACCCCCTATACTCCAGTTTCCATATTTGACTTTAATTTCCTGTCTCCTTCCTTTTACCTGTTTTCCCATGGCTTCTCATTTTCTTCGTGCATATAGCCTGCAGAAAGACACTTAGCTGGTGTAAATACCCAAAAGTCTGAATGAATATTTCATGGACAACGCTATGGTTACGGGCTGAGACTTCTTTCTCTCTGTGTGTTTAATATATGCAGCCAGGCACACTCGCTCCTGTTTGAACGCCGCATACGAAAGACCACAGGGCAGGCTGGGAAATGGAAATGTAATTGGATTGTGACAGGATGCAGTTTGTGAACAGAGAACAGCCAGATGCCTCATGGGAGATTTTTCATATGCTCGCACATTAAGCACCCCAACCATCATCACAAGTCAACGCAGGCCCAAACAAGAGCACCATTTTGATCATTTGCCTCTCATTGGCCAATCCCTCACTCTCATGTCCAAATAGGCCTTGTTGTAAAACTTGAAGTCGTTTTTTTTTTAGATATTTTTTGACTTACACCAAACATAACAATTAAATGTGATCCCCTAAGCTATGTGAGTATCATTGCTTTTCTAAATATGAACACTTTGATGAATGCCTCAGCAGGCTTAGTGCTTGAAAAAGAGTACAGTGCCTTAATTGGAATAGAAAAAAAAAAAACAATCCTCCAATACTAGAAAGACAAAACAAAAATAACTAAACCGCCACACACTTCTCACACAAACAATAAAAAATAACTTCAACATTCTTAAAATGTATACAAAATTTTGGTTTCTTGTGAGTACCTAATGTCCGTTCACCTTGTCCACTTGTTTGATGTGTGTAGGTAAATAGTTATGCAAACTGAAGGAACAAAAGGAGAAAGGGAGAAAGAGTGCACTTTTACAAGCTAGAAAAAGACAAAGAAAAAAATGCGACTGTGCCCAAAGCAAAAAACAGACACAAACATAAAAAATAGGTGAAATGAAACCTTGAGGAATTCAAAGCAGAGAACAATGGCATGTACGCATGTAGGTGCATGTCTGAAACAGCAGAGGAGGGAGGGGTTATGGAGCCCTCAGAGGACAGTCGGAGAAACATATCAGATCCACTGGGATTGTACAGAACGAGTTGTTCTGAGCTGTGGTGACTGTGTCCAGAATGACAACTCCACAACGCAAAGGCCAAAAAAGGTCATGAAGGAATACATGAGTTTGGAAATGGGTCCCACCAGATGGTCATCTGATGAAATCTCACTCAAATCCAGACCAGAGACAAAAGTCAAAGCACAGTTATTTTCAGTATTTTTAAAGGCACAAAAAGGTTAGCAGACAGATAGCTAGGGTTTTTAATACACAGTGGGATCATATCTGTCACAAGGAAACAAAGTTCTTTAATAACAAACAAAACAGATCCAAAATATCCATAAATCCAAAAATCCAAAAATAGAAACTAAACTGCTATGACAGAACAAGACACTGAAAAAGACACAGACAAAAACAAACACAGTGGACCAACAAAGGGCAGAGGAGAACACAGGGTAACACAGGTAAAACACATCAGTGCGGGTCAAACAATCAAGATAAGAAGTAAAGCTCAAAACTACAAGAAGACTAAAAAAATTCAAATTAAAAGGGCACACAACACTAAAGGAAAAAGATACACCAAAATAAGCAAAAACAACCAACATGAACCATGACAATATCACTCTTTTTCGTCTCTTTTTGCCTTCTTTTTAAATCCACATTGTGTAACTTTTCAGGTGGAGTCGCCTGTTTCATTGCTTCGCCTTGAATTCCACAACATTAACCATCTAAATCCAGATAAACAATGAACAATAAACCTAGTCATTTGTCTGAATTTCAAGTGGGAAATCCCTATGCCTGTTCTGTCTGTATTGACTGTATTATGAAAAAGAAAATTAACTTATGTTAGTAGAATCGCTTTACATCCACTACACACTATGCATTCACTTTCTACAAAATTATGTGTATACAAAATAAGTCCTTGTTAATTATCATGTGTTTTATTATGTTCAAGTCATGGTTGTAGCTGAGGGTTAAATTACAAAGCTCCAGCCAAACCTGAGATAGTTTGTCTCGGCCAGTTTGTCATCTAACCTTGAAACGTACTGATTCAAGCCAAGTTTTCTTTTGGATTCCTCATAATGTAGATGGAGAAATAGATACCAAACACCATATTCTTCTTACATTTTGCAATAGTTTGGTTTTATCCCCGCAGACGTGACCTTTGACCCCCGCTGATAACACCTTCTAACTACGAGAGAGCAGCTGAGTCCTGGTGGAGCGGGTCTCGTAGCTCCACACCTCATTATAACTCTCTCCACATCAGACAGAGCAGGGCCAAAGTAAAAGAAGAGATTTAAAGTGGAAAAAAACACTAAGAAAAGGAATGGATTTTCAGACTTTTACACAGCATTTTATGAAGTGTTCAGTGCGTAGGAAAGAGTCAGCATGTGTGGCCTATCTAACACTAATTATCAGAGAGGCCTTTGGGGTTATAGAGGAGTGTTAATGAGTGTTAATGGAATATGCCCACACAGAAGAGGGAAAGTGGTGTCTTTTAATGATATACAAACAAACAGCAACAGGCTCAGGCATAAGAAGATCTGGGTGAAGACTGCAGCAAAGACACAAGGGAGAAAAGATGGGGAACAGAATGTATTCTTAAGAGTTTCTGGAAAAAAAAAAAATCTGATTCATCTTAAACTTAAAAACTAATAACGACCACATGGCTAAGTCAGAGTTCAAGTGATTTCAAAACACACACTATACTACACACTACAGTTTTGTCTGTGATATCAGTGTGATTAACACTGAAATAAAAACACCAGGGTCATTTAATACGAGACATCTTAAAACCAATGATGAGCCTGGCAGCAGCAGTAGCATCAATAGAAAGCATCTGGAGCCAGAGTCGATGGAGCAGGAAGTGTGCCCATGCTCACTTCCTGATTGATTTGACTCAAGTCAACTGTGTACAGGTTTACCATTGATGAAATGTGTTGTACGGCCAATTATTTGTCCATGTAGTTTCATAGATTTACAAGCAACGAAGCATGCCGCTGCAGTTTGTTACGAAACACGCCTCCACAATTAGTGATGTAAGCAAGAAAACAAGAACAAAAAGGTAAACAAAATCAACCGCACAACTGCTGTCATTAGTAAACTAACGTGAATGTGTATCATATCTGAGACACAACTGGTCATTTCATGTTCCGTAATCAACAGTATTTGAGAGTTAAAAGGAGTTATGATCTACACTATAATGTTGTTTCCTCATCAAAAGCATTTTGTTTTGTTTCATTCGCACATGTTTAACACACAAATCCTGCAGATTTAGGCTGTGTTCTTCTCCCAAACAGAAAACACTCTGTTCAACCTTGTGATGTCATGTGGTAATACAGGAAGTACTCCACTGCGTTTTAAACTCTATACACATTCACTAGAATCATTTGAATGATTTCAGACCTGGAAATGCCAAGCTCTACTGTAGGTAAAGGTATCGCTTCACGACATCACAAGGTGGAAAATAGCATTTTGAGCTTTGGAGATGTCAACAGACTAATAATAGAGGGTTACTCAACGTGTGAATGAAAGAAAGCACAACCAGGTATATTTTTGATGAGGTAACAACATTCTAACATGGCTTAAAGCTCCCAAGAGTCAGTTTTGTGTAATAAAGACCTTTAAAAAAAAAAAATCTTATCGCAGCTGCTCACCTGTTCTTGATATGGTCCTCCAGGTCTCCACGGGCCACTGTGTCTGTGCAGTGCTCTGTGAACGGGCAGTGCACAGTAAGCTTGTCCAGCAGTTTGTGCACCAGCAAACTGGGCTTCCTGCAGCTCTGTAACATGAGGGAGGCACGGCACACGGGGCAGAAGTCGCTCTCCAACAGAAAACTGGTCAGACACTCCTGGCAGTAGGTGTGTCCACAGGGTGTGTCCAGAGGGCGGATCAGAGGCTGCAGACAGATGTGGCACACCAGGTCATCGTCCACTTCGTCCTGGTACAAGTACTCGTGGTTCTCCTCCAGGGCATGGCTGTGTCCGCACGACGGGCACAGGTCTGGAGGGGGGGACAGCACACCCAGGTCCGAGGGCGACAGGGGCAGGGCTGCTGCTTCAGCCATTTCTACAGAAACCTCAGGCTGTTCGCTGTCCTCCTGAGAGCTCATCTGGACCGCAGGCTGAAGAGGAGGGTACAGAGCGAAGGCCATGACCAAAATACATCTGCAAGGAAGAAACAAACAGGTCATATGAACTTTCAGGAAAATTCTGTCATTTCAAACTAGATACAAGGCAGGATATGAAACATAGACGCCAAGCCTGACCTCTGGGGTTTTCACGCTGCTACAATGAAATACAAAATTGAAATCTGTTATTCAAGGCCATAATCATCCACTATTGACTAACACAGTGGTTGGCAACAATTTTTTTCACATAACCCTTATTTAACCTGTGGGTACGGTGGTGAAACAACATCTGTGTTTTACCTGAAAAGCTGCCATTTCATAATTTAGTTTTTAGCCCCTATACTAACTAGCCCCTATATAACTCCAAAAAGAAAGGCCCTACATGATCTGGGAATCAAATCTACAATCTTTTTATCATGAAATATCAGTCTGAACAGCTGTGCCACTGACTCTTTCCAGATTTACTGACTAAAAATGATCCAGGTTTGGGACTCGCTCACTTTGAAACATATCTTTTAATCAGATGCTGCTTTTTTCATGAGTTAGAGAAGCAGAGGATTATGCACATGTGCTGTTTACATCAGGTGCACACAGTATGAGCAGACAGAAGTGACCGCATCAATGTCAAACACACACGCACACACACGCACACACACACACACACGCACACACATGCACACACAATATCCACACACTGTTTAGCCTGAGCTCCACAGAGATGGATTTGCACACATCACATAAACAACATCCAGGCAATGACGTGTGCAGAGTATCAACAAACTTTTAAGTTTTTACTGGAACTGGAGGTGATATTTTCCAATACAACTCATGAGAAACTTTACTTCTGGTTTGATTTCCTTTTGGTTTCTTTTAGTCATGTTTTGGTTGAGTCCTGGTTTAGACTGAGGCAGACTTGCGAGAATAATCCAAACGAATCCAAATTAGTCCTGGTTTAGGCCTTGTTTTGTCCTGGTTAAAGGTACAATATGGATTTTGTTCTGGTGAAGAGTGTGCTATCTGCTTGTCTCCATGCTATGGCTTTACCAGGAATGTTCCACAGTATGACTTTAAAATGATCTATCTCAGTACACAAGCTGGTCAAGTTACATCTACCCAGCTCACAGTAATGTTTTCCAAAGTATGTTTTTGTAAGTAAATAAAACAAGCAATACTAGGCAAGCTGTTATCTTTAATTTCCTGCTTAGTCCAGTCCAGATTTACATTAATTAGTTAGTTTGAATTATTTCAGATGTTTTACTTGGTTTGAAAGTTCAGAACCGCTCCTCTGTGATCTACAAACATCAATAAGGCTGATATGTGCAGAGATAGAAAATACAAACATCAAAAACAAGCTAATCCACAACTGTGCACGTCTCAGTTTCAAATGTGCCTTTGTTCAGGGCTAACTGTGTGTGCATTGAATACGTCATAGAGGAGCAATCACATTCTCAAGATCGCAAACGTGGACTGAATGAGCACTGACACAAGTCTCCATGGCAACAGCTCCCTTACCACAGCTACGGCGTCATTGGAGCTTGACTCAGACCATCAACCTTCAGGTTTTTGGGCGAACGCTCTGCCACTGAGCCACTGCAGCCTCACTGGTAGGCCTAATTTGAGATGCATTTACTAGTACTGTGGGTCTGGCTTAATCTCTGTGCTTATCCTGGCTTGGGAATGACATGAAGACCTCATTTCTTCTCTTGAGTGTTTTCCAAACTTTATTTACCCCTTGTTTAATCCTTTGTTTACTCTAGTAATTTGAGCATACTTTGTGAGGTTAGTCCTACTTTAGACAATTATAGAGGGTTTCTTTATCTCCATTGGCAGTATGTGTAACTTTTCTCTCATGGGGAGTAAACCACCTGCTTTTCTCCATGTTATTGTTATTATCTGGAATGTTACACTGTATGGCATTAAACTTATCTGTCAGCATACACAAATGAAACAGAAAATGCACACCAGAGTTCTTGTAGAGGGGCAGATGCAAGGAACAGCAAAATAAAAGTGAAAAAATGCACACTCAGATGGCTGATGTCCAAAAGCCTTTTTTACTTTTAAATAATGTTTTGGCAAAAAAGCCTCCGGCAGATCATTTTTCTTATTTTGGACCAAATCAACATACACATTCTGAGAGTGAATGGGGTTACTTAATCCATGTATCATTCGTTCATTCATTTTTCAAAATAAAAACAAAAATAAGAAAATTAAAAAATAACAATTTTCTTCATTATTAGTCTCCAAAACCAAAATGAAAAAAACAGATAATGATTCATTTTTTTAGTTTATGATTTTGTGTTTAACCGAATAACGACTGTTTCGTTTGTGTGACTTAAACTGCGATGCCGGACTTTTGCACTGCTTGCAGACTGAACCAGGACTAAAACAGGACTAAACCAGGACTACACCGGGACTAAAACAGGTCTGGTCTAGTCCTGGTCTCAGTCCTGGTCTGGTCCCGCGCTCCGTCCCAGTCTGAGCCCGGTCTCCATCCCGGTCCCGGTCTTGGTCTAAGTCCCAGTCTCAGTTCTAGTCTAGTCCAGATTTCAGTCCTGGTCTGGTCCTGAGCTCAGTCCCGGTCTCAGTCCCTGTCTCAATCCTGGTATGGTCCCAGTCTCAGTCCTGGTGCAAGTCCCAGTTTGAGTCCCGGTCTGGTCCTAGTGTCAGTCCTGATCACCCGACAGTCAACGTGGGCGCACCTCTGGGCCCGTCCCGACAATCAGTCCTGGTTTAGTCCTGGTGTAGTCCTGTTTTAGTCTTGGTTCAGTCCTGGTTCAGTCCGTATGTGGTGTAAAAGTCCGGCATTGCAGTTTAAGTCATCACGGAAACAGGAAATGGCCATAATTATAGTTTCATTCATTTTAGTTTTGGAGACAAATAATGAACAATAATAATAATGTTTTCTTATTTTTTGTTTTATTTTCAAAAACTAATGAATGAATGATACATGGATTTTACTTTTCCATAGATTTTACTTGTAACACATTCTGAAAGCGTTAGTTTCCATGAAGATGAGTAGGATCAATAATGATATTCCAATTTCCATGAAGACGAGCAGGTGACGGATCCTCCACCCAAAAATGTACATAATACATCTTTAAATTTGTCTCAATACTTTATATTCTTTCTGTTATTCCCTGTCCCGCCAGATTTGAGTTCTTGTTTATCCTAAAACCTGTCTCATAATTATGGGCTTACTCAAAGTCTCTTTAAACTCCACTACACTGCTTTACAAATCCACCAGAGCTCCTGTCAAAACAAACATCCCCCTTTCCAATATGGCTGACACGAGTTGTGACACTTTTTCACATCTTCTTCCTCTCTATCCCTGTGGGGCTAATCAAGAGAGGCTTAACCAACATGAACTGTCCCTCTGTGCTGCTCCCAGAAACCCGCTGTGCATCAGATGTGGACTGGTAAAAGGGGAGAGAGGTGTATACTTTTATCTCAGCGAACCAAGAACCCAGACAGCGGGAGGCCAGCAAAAAGACTCTTTCAAAGTTAAAGGAAAATGTAAAATCCACTCCTACAGCCGAACAGAATGATGTAAGTCTTTCTACAATTTGGGGTTAAACATTTTGTCAAGAAAAATATCGATCACAACTGATATATATATATTTTAAACAAATGCCTCTCTTCACTGTAAAATTACCACTTGCAACAAAACAAAAACAAAAACATTATCTAACTGCATGAATTTGGGCCAGTTGGTAGCCACAGTATTTATTAGGCCTTTCTTTAGTAATTGATTTTCTTATTATTGCCCAAACTGCATTTAATTCTCTACAACCTTGTAACCATCTCTGCATTCTCATCACGCTAGTAAACAATTACAGCTCCTACCTATAAATTCACAGCATTACTCCATGACAACAGAGACTCTTGCATAATGTTAAAAAGAGTACATTTACCTGTATATAAACAGCAGAGTTTTATCAATGCTGTATTAATTAATCTTCTTAAGGGTGTTCTGGAAAAAGACTCCTTTTGGAGGCATTGATGAATGTTGAACCAAAGACAAAACAGACAGAACAACCAGCAGCGTATCCCTCAGACGTCAGACCCCGAGATACAAAGCACCAAGTTTATATTCACTGAGATGACCAGAAGACATACATTTCAAAGTGAGAAGGTGACGAGTCCTGCTGAGGTGTGACCACATGTGCTCCTGTTGGCCTTCATGAGATGGTTCACCTCAGGATGTTACATGTGGAGTTAAAACTGTAAGGTGTGGTAACTGCTCGATCTGATTTGCATTTATATTCACATGCATTTATCCCTCCTGACAAGATTAGCAAGTAAAAGGAACAGAAGTGTTTATACTGAAGGGTCTTTTTAACACTGTCTTTAACTACCAAATCAAATGAGTTTTATTTAACCTTCCTGTCGTGTTCGGGTCAAATCTGACCAATTTACTACTTAAAACACTCATAAATATTGTGTTTTACATCGGATTGCCTCAAGGCCTTTTGATATGCTCCACACTATGCACTTGAACTTATAAAAGTGATGATCACCTCTTTCATTGAATTTTGAGTATTTTAATCATCCTTGTTACACTTGTGGTGTTCCTGGTCAAAAGTGACCACCATAGAAAATGATTTGGTATCCAGACTATATTCATCCATCACACAGAAAACATCCTCATACACACCACCCAAACTCACTCACTCACACACAATGGTTTTCCATTAATTTTTTAAAAATAATGTGTTAATTTGCTCGAATGACAAGAAAAAGTTTTTGTGTCTCTGTTTGTGGTGTGAAATTATGGAACAACTTGAAAATAGAATTAAAAATTTGTTCAAATATACATGTATTCAAAAGGGCAATTAAAAAATTATTTCAAAATACTGTGCGGAAGAAATTAGTGCTTAGTGTAAATGTGTGCATGTATATGTATGTGTATGTATATGGGTGTATATATGTATATATATAGGTATGCATGGGTATATATATGTGTATATAATGTGTATATAGGTATGTATATATTATATCTGATGTATATGATGTGTACTATGTCTATGTACATAATAT